ATGCCTCCATCCCTCCTACCAGTCTCAATGTACTTTCTTCTTTACTTTTCTAGTTGTAGGACTTCCATTCAGCCAGTTTTCAGGTGGTTCTGGATGATGGTTGTTCTGTATTTATTTGTAATTTTGATATGGTTGTGGGAGGTGGTGAGTACAAGGGTTTACCTACCCTGCCATCTTGGCTCTCTAGAATTTCTTCTTGAAGCATAGTTCCTAAATATCAATAATTTAACATCTGACTAATAATAACTAAGCAAATAAGAATTAATTTTTCTCATTGAACAAAAAATTGAAGGTAGGCAGGTCCAGGCCTGGTGCAGTACTCTGTAATGTCAGGGAAGATCAAGGCTCCTTTTTCCTCATCACTCTTTATTCTTAATCTATCAACTATTGCCTCAATGGCACATGTGTCACACAAACTCAAGGCAGGAAGAATTCGGGAAGAGGAAAGGAGGGGTTCTAAATGTATTCGTTTAGCAAGGAAAAAAATTGTTTTCATTGAGAGAGAAATAGCAATGTGAGTGAGACATATTGATTGGTTGCCTCCCACACTCTCCGACTGGGGTCGGGCTGGTGATTGGGCCTACAACCACAGTATGTGCCCTTGACTGGAATCGAACCCAAGACCCTTCAGTCTGTGGGCTGACATTCTACCCCAGCCGTGGGCAAACTACGGCCCGCGGGCCGGATCCGGCCCGTTTGAAATGAATAAAACTAAAAAAAAAAAGACCATACGCTTTTATGTAATGATGTTTACTTTGAATTTATATTAGTTCACACAAACACTCCATCCATGCTTTTGTTCCGGCCCTCCGGTCCAGTTTAAGAACCCATTGTGGCCCTCGAGTCAAAAAGTTTGCCCACCCCTGCTCTAACCACTGAGGCAAAATGGCTAGGGCAGGAAATTAATTTTAAATCCAGAATAATTTTGGTCTTCTCTAAACCTACTCAGGCTGGATGTTGTCAATTCCAACCCCTCTCTTCCTAATAACCTGATTCCAGAGACCTTCTCACCAAAATGGAGCTATCAGATCATAAAGCAGGACATTTAAATGCTGCAAATATCAGATCCTGGAATAGCCCAGCTCCCAAAGGCCTTGAAGACACAAGTTAGCCTTATCTGGAGACTAAAGAACCAAGGAAATAAATGTTGGTTTCTCAGGAGAAATAAACTACATTTGCAAGAAGAAATAGTACGCTCTCCTGAGAGCTGTCTCTTGAGATACAGAGAAAAAGGCGCCATCTCCAACACTGTACCTGGGACCAGAAGTCATCATAAAACAGGATCATCCTAGAAAAAATTATGTGGAAAGAATCTGTAAAAGTATACAACAAATTCTTAACAGGTAATCAACATGGGAGTAGTACATGGGAGATCTTTTTATTTGAAGAAGAGGGTGCCTATTGACTTCTGAAGTTAATAGTATTGACAGTGGCAAAGTGAGTGGCTCAAAATGATGTGACAAATCTTGGACTTGATTTTTAAAGGTGCTTACTATGTGTAAAGCATGTTGGAAGCTATGAAGTAGAAATGGATCCTGTCCTCAAGCAGAAGTGATGAGTCATGAATGCGATTACTGTGACACACAGTAGAAAGTGGTTGAAACAAGAGGCTCAAATGAAGTGTCATGAGAATTAGAAAATTACTTCCTTTTGAGGAGGATCGAGGAAGGCAAGAGATGGCAAAATATTAATGTTTAAACATACTTGCACATTTCTATTTTTTCTTTAAGACCTAGTGCTAATGTCACCTGTTTAGTGAAGGATGCCCTGGTTCTCCCAGGGTTCAATGGCTTGCTCACATGATTTTTGTTCCCACCTAACACTAGCACATTTTCCTGTTTATAAATCTTCCTCCGCTAGATTATGAGTGAAAGGGCAGAATGCATTTTACATATCCAGTTCACACAGAGACCATCACTAGCACCAATCCCATTCATCTCATTCATCCATCCATTTAATTTTTTGAGTTCTGTGCTAAGTGTTGGAGAGGCATGGAAAGTTGAGTATCTGCCACTGAGGATAGCAACACAAAAATCAATAATGACAGTCAGTGCCTTGACAAAAATCATACATAGGGCTATGGGACCAGAGGACCAGAATCAGAGTAAGAGGATGAGGAAGGCTCCTCAAAAGACCTGGCATTTAAGCTCTTTTAGAAGGTGGACAGAGGAAGAGAGTAGGAGAGGAATACCATATGGCGACAAGATCATCACCCTTCAGAACTACAAATAGGCACTCAAAAATATTTCATTGACCCAAATTATGATCAAGGTGGAGTCTAGGGGACTTAACTCCCATCTAAGTATTTCCCTTTCAAAGTAAAAGACATTTTAAAAAACAAATCAAAGATTAAGACCTCATGATTATAGGAGAACGCTGGAGAAGTAATTTGGCCTAGAATCAGAAACAACCGGTCCAGTAACTTTTTCCCCCCCAGTAACTTATTTTCTGATCACTTCCCAACCAGAATTTCACTGCCCTGAGCAAAAGCAATGAGTCACCAATCATCTCATCAATTTGTAGTTAAATTCTAAGGGACTGGCCTCCAGGCCCTCCAAGTTTCAACCAGGAGAGATCTGTGTAAGCTTTTGCTCTTCCTACCAGCTGGAATGCTTTATTGCTTGGTAAACAGATTACTCCCTCCCTTAATATCAACTGTCACCTAAGCAACTTTTGCTTTATTTCCACTTTCTACAGAGAAGATGTAGGGAGCCAAGGCTAGGTCAACATGATCCTATTATAATCATTCTTTTCAAAGGGGCTGGCAGATACAATGCTCACATCAGGCATGGGCATATTCCAAGTCCTGGAGGCATCTGCTTAACACTAACAGGCAGCCTGGTCAGGAAACACACTCAGCAAAGATGTAATAATAATGCTAACTTTTTCTTTTCATTAATCTCACCTAATCCTCAGGTACATATGGTGCTTCCAAACAAACAGGTGAGGAAACTGAGGCTTTGGTTAAGCAAATTGCCTGAGCTTGCATGCGAGTTGAAATTTGAGTCCAGGGTTAATTTGGCTCCAAAACCCAAGTCTTCCTGTTACACAAAGCTGCCTCTCTTAATAATCCATAGGCTCCTTAAGACTAGAGAAGGGAAGATGCTACTGGGAAGTTATATTTTTTCAGCCAATGAAAAATCAGCTATATGATAATCCAATCTGCTTGCTCTGCAACATTATGGAGAAAATAACTGCCTTCTCTGCACTGACAGTTCCATGGTCACCATGCCCACACGGCCCTGGTTACACTCCCTGCAGAGGCATGTTACGTGTATAAAGGCATGAAAACCAGAAGGGCTCTCATTCAGAGGTCACAGAGCAAGAGCTCATGAAATGCTCACTAACTCTTTAAGATCAGCTTTATGTGTCTTTTCCTTTCCCTGCAAGAAGGCTGACTGATCCTAACATTTGTAACTTTCTATCATGTGTATACCAGAAGCTAGAGATAGAGAGGGCACAATGATGAGAAAGGAATCAGCTGTACTAAGACCCAAATCCCAAAACTTCAAACTAGGAGAAGCAAATGTGCTGTCCTGGGCCATATGTATTGCATTGGAACTTCAGGAAATGGAAGTGGAACTGTCACTTTCCCCCTAACTCCCAGTTGATTATAATGCACCATCTTGAATAACAATCTTAGCTCTAGAGAGGTCCTAAGAATCATTCCATCAATCATTCATCACAGGAGGTCTCATAGGACTAAGAAGATGTAAAACTTGTGTCTTTTAAAAGTTCATAACTCTCAATGTACTGACGCTACATGTTTCCATAGTCTGCTCATCATTTTAAAAATCAGTGATTCTTCATACTTGTTTCATCACCACCTATTATATCAGGATGAGTGCTCACAAATGCTTGCTAGCAATTAAGAGTCTTCAGGTCTTATCTCTGAAGGAATAAGCTGTGAATTAAAATTTTAGAGCCCAAGTCCCATGGAGTGAAAAGCCAACCAAATCATTATGCAGGAATTCAGATGTCTGAAAAACTAAGTTTGATGCTAAAGGAGTAATAAATTTATTTCCACATATATAAGGTATTTATGCACATGTACTGTTTGTTCTTGCACCTCTGAAGAGTTCATGCTTTCCAACAAGATTATTTACAACTTTTTGTATTCTAACGACAGAGGCTGCCCTCCAAATTTCTTCTGAGCTTTGGCAAACTTTTGTTTTACTTGCTGACCTTGCTATGATTCTGGTAAGGCTAAAAGAAAAAAACTATGTTCTAAGGAAGGACAGCCTATACCCCTTCTTGTGTCACTGAAGGTAAAAGTGTTGCTTTAATTAAAGCAAACAGAAAAGGTGTGGGGAAGTAATAAGATGTTTCTTTTTACAAGCATGAGAGATAGGGAAGCAACTTCTAAGATTGTGTGAACCAGAAGTGTGTGATTTCAGTTTATTATAACCTAAGCTGTTAAAAGGGTAATACCCCATCTCTTTTCTATTTAGCTAATGGATTTTTTTTTAACTGGTTTTCATGAAAACCAAGTGGGATTTTTAGAAGCAAGTAGCTCAATCTCACAAAACAAAACAAAAATGAAAGCTAGCCTGAAGACATCAAGAAAGCAAGCTTAAAACAAGCCAACATGTTGAGTTTAAGACAAACGTTACCTTTTAAATTTTTATGATGAAATGAGTTTTTTTATTTGTTTTAAAACCTGGGGGAATTTTTTATACTTTAAGTCTCATGTCCCAAATAAGAAAACAAGTCCCAAAGCAAATCTTATCTGTGGTGACCACTGATCTACTGCAAAGTAGAAATGAACATAATTTTCACAAAATTGATTTTCTTGTATTTATTAAAATTAAACTGCAATCTATCTCCTAACATATAAATTACAGAGACAAGTTAACGTTGCATACTCCAACCTAATTTCATGCAAGTTGTTCTCATCGCAAATCTTGTGTGGTCTGCCATATAAATATTTTAGTGAGGCCAACGTGGTGATAATATATTGTGAATCAAATTGATTTCAAAAGGACACATCAACAGGTTCATATTTCCACATCATTAGAACTTTATTAATAAGTAAAACACATCAGCATATTTTATATATGGGCAAGGACATTCCTATAGTAGATGGCACAATATCAACTAACAGTTGAATTTTATCAAGAATGAGGTTTTAAAAAATAATACACTAATATTCCACATGACTATTTGAAGAATTCAATAATAAACAATTAAAATAACATTTAACAGCAGTTTAAAAATATAAAGCTCATTGTTTCCTATTTATCATAAGCTGGAATCACTCAAATACAACAATGTCTATTTTTAAAAAAAAAAGATACTACACATGTTCTACAAACCGGACAAATGATTTGGCTAGGAAAGGCCATAACAATAATTGTCTTCTGCCCTAATACTCCAGTTTCTTCTCTCAAAAGGCAAGGGATTCAGACGGTCACTTCTCAGTCCAGTATAGTTATATATAAGGTGATCATATAATTTATCCTCCAAATTAGGACAATTTGAGAGTGAGAAGATGTCCTATTTAAGATGAGAAAATGGAAATAACCAGGACTGTTCTGAGAACGCTCAGGAAATATGTCACTCTAGTTAAATACAGTATCAAATGCACTATCATTACTTTTGTGCTTTAGGGGACAGTGTAGACCAGTTGGGGAAAAAAAATTAAGGAACCTTGAATTTTTCTGCAAATAGACTTTAGATTCCACTCTTCCTGTTAGGAGAGGTTTTACTGGAAATATTGTTTAAACAGGTTGAAAATCATAAACAATCTCAAAGGCAATGGATATATCTTATAGACTCAAAAAAAGGGGGCTAGAGATTAGTATTTTTTCCTAGTAAACAATTTTCATTATACTGAATATAATAGGATTTGTCTTTCCTTTTAAATTTCTAAAATCTATCCTTAACAAAGAAAAATATTTTATCTTAATATTAGTTTATTTCATAAACACATAAAAATGGATTATCTGGCCATAACTAGCTTATTCAAATATAACAGAAATTTAATAAAATTTTTCATTAACTTCCAAGCCCAAGTTCACATTCATTCAAAAATTTAGACACCCTAACAAGGTTTTGACTTTTAATCTTTAAGGCATAGTACAAAGGTGGATGTGTCCCCAAAACACACCAGCAGCTGTTCTATCCAAGCTCACAGGAAATGAAGTGAAATGTGCAGGATCTGATAAATTTGAAAGGGGGTGGGAAAGGTTTTAAAAAATAATATCCTGGTTCCTCCGAGTGGGTGATGGGATTTAAGCCTACCACTGAATTGTACCAATTATAGAAAATTAGATAACCTACACACTTGAATCTTATGATTTGGTGAAACAAAAATCAAAACAAAGAGTGAAGTTTTGATGTTGGATCAAAAGTGACACATACATACTCAGAAACCAACTATCTGATCTAATAATTTAAAATTAGCATGCAGCATAGCCTAATTTCATTTAAAAATTATTAAAAGAACAAAGTATAGATCTATAGGAAATTAATATAAGGGATCTAGCATGAGTTTACATTTCTTATTAGTACATTCTAATTTTAATTAATTTCAAAATCAGGCAACTAAATTAAGTATTATTTTCTTTATCCCATGCTATTGTTCTACTTCAAGGGGTGTAACACAGGCACTTAAATCAATAATACAATTCTATGCAGGGGAGGGTACTGAATGAGGGCAAACAAAAAATAGGCTCAATTAGCAAAAACAAAAATGTATGTTTTATTATCAAAGACAATAAAATAAATCAGAAAATACAGATAAATACAAAAGAAAGTATAAAGCATAATCATTTTTTTTTCAGAAATGGAAAATGTCCCTGAATAGTTTTCGGTGTATCTTTTTGTAGTAGTCATGTCTAATAATAAACAATCAATTGTATGCATATGTTCTATTTACCTGTATTAAATGATTTTTAAGTTTAAAAGAGTATATAATTCCCATTATTTTTAATGTTGACATTCAAAAGCAAAGTTATAACTAAAAATAAAAATAAATGAGGCACAAAATGATTTGCAAAATGTAGTAGCTTATGAATGTAAAGTAGATTCCAGTTGTAATAATGGTGACACACACACTCTCGCAACACACAAACACACCCCACACCCCCATATTCCACAGACACATTTCCATACTTGAAAACATATTTTGCATATCAGTTTATGATTTTTACAAGTTAACCCTACAATCACAAAGCAAGAAGCTATTAATAGTACAAGTTTTTACTTGCTAAATTTAACAAATTAAACATCTAAAAATTATTACAATGATACTGAAGTATACTTTTATTGGCTTTTTAAAAGACAAATGCAAATGAGAATCATATTCAAAAAATTTTCAAAAATGCCTTAAATGAAATAAAATAAATATCTAATACAATCGTTTCCTATAAGAATCTTTAAGATGGTCAATGCTAAAAAACCAAGCTTCTCATTTGAGAATCCCTAAAATTGGCAAGTCCCTTAAATTTTTTTTCTTATAAAGGATATGTGGAATACCCATATTTTCTTAAAATTTGTCCTAAAACAAACTCTATCTTTAACATCCAAATTTTCTATATATATTAAGTTCACTTATTTTAAAATTAATGAAAAGATATCTAGACACAATTTTCTAAGAAAACAATGCAGAAAGTAGTTTATGCATGGTTATTTACAGAAAGAGCTTTGCTAAATAATGATGTAAAAATCATGTTCAAAAATCTGACACAGCCTTTCTAATCAGCACTGCAGGTTTCAAAAAGACTTTATATTTACCAAAGGATGTTTCATGTGTAGTTACTAGATAAATCTGAGAGCCAGAAACTAAAGCATTTGACATGGTTAATAATTTCATTTTTATTATACTAAAAGTCAGGTCAGAAGTCAATGGCATTTACATGCTAGAAGACTGTTTATCACTCAACTCTTTGAAATACATCAAACACTGATTAACAAAATGTGACTGTACTTTACTGCTACAACTTTATGGTGTCTTTCAAGTATATGCAAATCTTTTGAAGGGGCACAGATGCAACTGCACAAAACAAATGAAATATAAATATTTAAGAGAATGAACAGAAGTGGCTTTTAAGCATAAACCACCCTGTCATCCAATTTTGAAGCTCTATCTTTTAACTAATTTGTCTTCTGTTATTAGTAGTCTTCTATCCTATTAAAGTTGTAGGTTTACAAGATGATCTGGAAATTTCACATTGATGTAAGAAAGGAATGTCTGGTTGATGCAGTCTAGAGACAAAGAAAGAATGTCTTAAAATGTATTACGTTGCATTTATCTAAATGATAATACAGTAAAAACCCATTTATAGCAGTACTATATCAAGTATACAATGTTCTTTCGATAAAAATGACATAGAGTAGCATTTATAAAAATATATTCTAAAGATTAGGAGACCATCTAGAAAACTTTTATATTATGTTTTAGACTCTTGAAAATGCAAACAAAATAATCATACTGAATACTCACAGAATATTATTTAAATTTGTAAAATTACTTTGCCTTTATCTTACAGTCAAAACTGACAAATTCTTAATGTCACTGTGTGCAAAGACATTTTACTGATTAAGGAGAAAATATGACACCTTTGGGAGGGAGGTCTTAATGGAACATTTAAAATGATACATTAATATGATCCAGAAATACAGTTGTATCCATTGTACTCTCCAGCAGAAATAAGTAAAGTATGGTAGCTTACATAAAACTCATTTAAGTTAAAAATAAAATTTAAGCAACCAAATCACAAACCACACAATTTATTAAAAGATTATTAAGTATATATAGCAACTTTGAAACATTTTGTACTTGTAGATAAATCCAGAAGGTGTTTTAGCAGATATTTTGCTTATGCAGTTCAAATACCTTAAAACACCTCTGCTCATTTCTTTGTATTTCCTTTTATTCAAGTTGTAGCCTTCATTATTGATACAAACTGTCACGCATTAAGAAAACAATAACAGAGCTCCTAGTTTTTTCATACACCTTTAATTCCTTGATCCAGTTTGTTAAGATCAGTGCATGGGAAATTGCTTTTCAATCACAGATTTGCTTTTTGTTCTTTTAACCAGATGTCTATGTGGATTTCACATTGTTTTATGCAAAATGTCCATCCCTTCTGTGTAAGTGCTTTGTCATGGTTTGTTTTAAGCCTTCAAATTTTGTGCTAGAGGTTATTTCATTCATATTCTGTGGTCAAAGTTTCAGTTTACTCATTATATATTTAAAAAATTAAATTTATGAAATTCAAGTTTACAAATCTAAATTATCTTTAACAGTTCACAACATACTACATTTAAATAAGCTGATTGTTAACAGAATAAAATATTTAATATGCTATATTTGAGTAAATAACATGAGTACATATTAAACATTGAGTATGTATCTGGGGAATATAAATAAATAAAGGGAATAAAAAGAGTTAATATATTAATAGGTCTTACCTCTATAATAAGAAGAAATACCTTGTTCTATGAGCAGCTGCCATACTTTCAGACATGTTTCTGACTTTCAGATAATTAACAAATCCCCTGAAGAAAAGGAGCAGGCCTGAGGTTGAAATAATACAAACATATTATGTTCTTATACAGAAAGGTGGCATGATATATTTAAAATAGACAATTATAAACAAGATCCTTTTGGCTTAAGAAACTTGGATGTGAGGGCGATCTGGCTGCGACATCTGTCACCCCATTGATCGCCAGGGTTGATTCGGCTGATCTGGCTGGCTGGGCGGGTGTCCCCCTCCTCCCTCACCGATCCATGTTCATCCCTCCCGAGGCTGCGCGGCGCCCCCCCCCCCCCCCCCCAGGAGAGGACCGGTCTTCGGTCAAGGGTATGGGAGTAGCTGCGCTCCCCTGCTAGAACCTCCAAACAAGCTCTCAAGAAACTTATCTGTAGAATTTCATTCATTCCATAGTATATTTAACATTATGATAACTCCAACATCAGGAAATATGATAAAAATTTACTGCCACCTAAAAATTATTTCAACTTATTAATCCTAAATATAATTAAAGCAAAAATTAAATTAAAGCAAATCCAGCCATGAAAATCCAGAATTACACAAAAATATAAATTTATTAATTGACTTCTTTAAATAGCAAAGTTACCTAAGGTACTTAAACTGATTCAACTTATAAAAATCCCATTTTACCAAATTTTCGATTAATGTAGCTACTAAACAAACTAAGACATATTTACTGACATAAAATAGTGTTCAAGAGGAATGTATGCATGTTAATGATAACAATTGTGGGATAACTCTAATAAGCCTGTCTAGCAATATCAAGTGTACAGTGTCATCGGTGAAATCTATATTTAAAGATATGTGCATTATGTAAATAATTTTAAATACTAGTTCTTATTTTTTAAGTAATAAAAGATGAATTTTTAATAAAAATTAAGAAAAGAATCAGGAAAGAAGACTTGGGAAGCAGCACTCTAGTAATCTCATATCTATCTCAGTGTTCTCTTCAGTAAAACAGTATTTTTAAATAATAACCACTTACATCATAGGTATTTTAATAATTAATTTTAAAAAACACCTGTGAAATGCTTCAAAGTTTCAGATGAAAAATGTTAGTTAAGTATAAAAAGCAGTAACATTATTAGTAGACTTAAGTTTTAATATACTTAAGCATACAATTCTAAGAAAAACAGTTATTAACTCCAGTAAATTTTTAACCAGGTAATCATGGGGTCAAAAACAAAAACAGAAGACATGTATGCATGCAACCTTCCTCGAAAGGAGGAAGATTTTGTTAGTTTAAAATGCAAAGTCCCAAACTAAATTTGTGCTCCAACTCCAGGTAATCAAAGCACTAAAACAAACAAACAAACGGTAAGATAGAAGAGATATACAAACAATGACTTAAACAAGTGGTATAAATTTCAGCTAAATCTGATCCCATCTGCTTCCTATATCCTAACTCCTTCCATTTGTGACTCGCACTCTGAATCCACTGCATGTCCTTCCAGATGCTGTTCAAAGATAATGGACACTGTGATCCAAATGTAAAAGTATTATTAAAAAATGTGAACCGAAATTATTTGTGAAATCTCTTTTTTGGCTATGAAGCTGCTATTTCTAAGACATATTTTGTTCTGGTGAAGCATTTTCTAAAATAAGCCAATCCATACCTAGAAACCACTCAGCAGCTATTGTTTCTGAGTTCTACAAAGTGCTCAACATTCTTGAGTGTATGTGAGAGCAACATTTTTATCATGGAGTAAATTTTCACATTCCCCTAAAGCAGTGATGGCGAACCTATGACACGTGTTACAGAGGTGACACGCAAACTCATTTTTTTTGGTTGATTTTTCTTTGTTAAATGGCATTTAAATATATAAAATAAATATCAAAAATATAAGTCTTTGTTTTACTATGGTTGCAAATATCAAAAAATTTCTATATGTGACACAGCACCAGAGTTAAGTTAGGGTTTTTCAAAATGCTGACATGCCGAGCTCAAAAGGTTCGCCATCACTGCCCTAAAGGCTAAATCATGACTCTGATGTGGAACTGGGGTTGTCCTCTGCACTCCACTCTGCCCCACACAGTTGTTTTTCTAAGATTCCTCAATCTCTTAATCCATAATAATAAAGCATAATATGCTAATTAGACCGGACGAAGCCGGGGCTGTAAGGGAAGCCCAGGTCCCAGGTGCCTGCTGGTGGCCAGAGAGAAGCCAAGGTCCCGGGTGCCAGAGGGAAGCCGGTGCCGGCAGCCGGGGAAGGAAGGCCTACTCTTGCACAAATTTCATGCATCGGGCCTCTAGTAATACATATAAACAAATATACTCAATTAATATGCTTAACTACATAATAAACTTTATACATTTTTTTCTTACTTTTAAGTAAGAAACTCAATAAAAAAAAAAAAAAAACCACAGAATTCAGGCAGTCAAAATATAACTAACAACATAAAAAACTGGCTGAAACCTGTATGAGTCTTACTCCCCAACAAAATCACAACACTAGAATAATAACTTCACTATAATTATTAGAGAAAGAATCCAGGATCTTTAGTGACCTTAACTGACCACTAAGAAGTTATGTCCCCAAAGATCCTAAAGATCCAATAGCAGGACTAAATAAAATCTCAAGGAGAAGACTGCCACCTACTGAAATGCTATTATTTTCTGGTACAATTATTCTACTATAGAAATGTGGGCTTTTAAACCTAAGTAGAAACAAAATGTACACTTCATGTCAGTAAATGAATTTGAAATGTGGGTTAAAGGTATAATGTGATTTTAAGATTAATTTAATTATACATCATGAAAAACACAGGAGAACAAAAGTTGGATGTCCAAAATTCATCAATACGAATAAAAGACATGCCTTGAAAGGAGACAACTCAAAAGAAGTACAGTGATCATTAGGCATGAAACCTTTCCTTATGTCTAGCTGATTAATGACTAATGCAGAGTACATTTCAGAAGTATAAAGAATGTTTCAGTGATCCAAAAATAACAGGATAGAACAGCCAACTATCCTACTCTCAACATTTCCTAAGTTCATTAAAAGAAATTATGTATGTATATTTTCCAAGATAAATACTGAAGGCAATTATTTTTAACCATATTAGGATTTTCAGGTTTTGTAACATTCAATTGTCATTAAACCAGTGAGTCTTTAAGTTGAATGGCTCTGAATTTTCAATCTAAGAAACCTGGAGTACTATGTAGAATTATATGAATAGCTGACATGATGAAGTAAGTATTTGGACATGAGAAATTTACAGTAGATTTATTTCCATATAATTTGTAACACAATGTATTTACACCTTAAAATTTTAGGAAATATCAAAGTTAAACTAAATACAAATTAATCAAAGTAAAATGCATTAAGAATAAACTTACCAAGTACAAGGAATATCCACCAAAGCCAATACTGTCCATTGAAATATCCAGTAAAATAATCAGAAAACTATGGAGTAAACATAAATATATTAATCATGTCTGTGTACTTAAATGTGAAAATCATAGATTAGTCTCAGTTTCAGAATGATTTATCTCAAATAATCTTTAGCACTTAAAAGCAGCATAAAAAGAAAATTAGAGAAGAAAAAAATACTTAATGACATACATATAAAATTATCTGAAAAAACCCTTTTATATGTAATAAACATATATAAAACGTTTAAACGTTTTGGGAAAAAATCAATTTCCATCTGCTTATAAGAAAAAAAGGGTAAGTGCTATATAACTGAATACAACATTTTCTCATTAAAGAGTTCACGTTAGATCCTTTTTCATAATCTTTCAAAGCCATGACTACCATCCCAAATACACTACAGCGATCCCCTACTTTAGATATTAGCACCAAAGCCACATTAGTTTAATCTTATCAGACAGGTATGTTCTGATGACCTCTAAAAGGAAGAGCTTTTGACCCTCTGTACAGCCCCTACTGCTAATTACTGCCAAGAATACCAAGCACAGAAAGACCCCAACTCATTAGTCTTTTTATTTTCAAACTGATGCGCCAGCTTTCAGTTCCCAACAGTGAGCTGTGAACAGCTAAATGAGCCTTGAAGTGGCATTTCAACAGTTCCTATTAGTGGCCATGGTAGGCAGTTTTATAGTCTCTCTGAAATGAGAATATGAACAGGCAGTTGGAAGGCAGGGTTTGATGATACTCGACATGGGTACTTTTCCTTGATTAGACTCTAATCATCAAGATTTATTATTTAAAAGCTTTTTAAAATTTCAATCTAATTTTCTTCAGAGCTACTTCAGATAATTCTTCCCTATTATCCTTTAGCGTCTGAACACTTAAAATAACTGTTTTTTAATCTGTTTTTTAAAGCCTTTTAAGTACTTTTACAGGAAGTATTTATAATTTATAAATGAACCATGATATAAATTCTCAGCTTAGAGTTTCAGAAATTTCAAAGGTTAAAAATTTACTAGTATCATTAAAGATACAAATCCCACATACTCTAATACCTTTAAAATATGTACTATGAAAGGAGAACTAGAAAATTGGGAAAATATAGCTTGTAACGTATAGCACTAAACTACTTTTAATAAAGTAATAATTAGAAAGAAAAGGTTTTTATACAGATTTTATAGGCTAAGAAAAAGAACCAAAGCAATATATTTTTAACTTTCTAATTTTAAAACATATTTAATACATAATGTTACATAGCAAGAAGCAACCAGAAAATTAGAACAATGTCACTCTTCACCCAAAATATTTACCTAAAGCTATTTTTTATTTACTCCCAAGAAAAGAATATAATTACCTTCACCTTGAAGTCAAAGAAATTCACTATGTAAAAAAGATAAATAAGCTTTTGGGCTCATTACTGAGTTATCAAAATGTGTTAAAACACTACAAATTATAGGGTTGAGTCAAGTTGTTGTTAAAAAAAAAAAAAAAAAAAAAAAAGTAGCCCTGGCTGGCGTGGCTCAGTTGGTTGAGCGTCATCCCATGCACTAGAAGGTCACCGGTTCACTTCCTGGTCAGGGTGAATACGAGAGGCAACCAATTAATGATTCTCTCTCCAATGTTATTTTCTGCCTCTCTGTCCCCACCCCCCCCCTCTAAAAATCAATGGAAAAAATATCCTCGGATGAGAATTAACAAAATGAATAATGAATGAATGAATGAAATAATAAAAACATCAAAAGCCTTAGGTAGAAATAATATCAGAATCTTGGACAAGAGATACAATAAATCTGAAGTTCATGCAACTCAGAAATAAAAAAGAAGGCAGCAGTATGACTTAGAAATTACTTATTGTCTAGTAAAAGGAAACCCCCAAGCTTTTGGGAGAAAACCTTTCGCTCAGCACTGACCTCTAAGGGGAATTTATTGCTTGGAGCACTATAATAAAAGTAAAGTACGGAGGCATTACAGAATTAGAAGAGACACTGAATTGAGAACAAGCTGGAAAATGCAGTACTCGATTCCTCCCACAACCACATCAAAAGTACAACTAAACTACAGAACAACCATCATTCAGAGCTGCTTGAAATCTAGCAGAATGGAAGTCCTACAACTAAGAATATAAAGAAGAGCCACATGGAGAATGATAGGAGGAGTAGAGACATGAACGGGCTGGTGGCGGATAAAAATCAGGAGGGATATCTCAGCTGTGGAGGTCTCCCATAAAGAAAGAGGGGTCCCAACCCCACACCAGGCCTCCCAGTCCAGGGTTCCAGTGCTAGGAAGAGAAGTCCCCATAATTTCTCACTGTAAAAACCAGTGTGGATTGAGGCTGAATAAGATGGAGGGCTGCTGGAGTCCCAGCCAGTTTCTCTTAAAGAGCCTGTGTACAGGTGCATGCACTTACTCGGACTCACTCAGACTCACTCACTCTAAGCTCCACCACTAGGGTAGCAGCTTGAAAGGCACCAGGGACATATGGGGTGGAATTGAACTATCTGAAATCAAGGTGAGAGCTGAAGGGACAGCTTTCTCCCAGATAAAAGTGTGAGCAGAGGCCATTATTCCTTTTCTGAGCCCTTCTGCCAAAGAGTCGGCAAGCAGGGGCCATATCTGAGTCTCCAGCAACCTGGCTCACCCTGGTCACCCTGCCCCCTGGTGATTCCCCGAGAGCCCACCACGCCCAACTAGCAGGCCCACTCAGCTGTTTCCATTGACTTTTCCATATGAATAGCCTGTCTTGGTGAGCCTCATACCTCTCGCTAAGTGGCCTCATGCTCAGCACTAGTGGCAGCCACCTTGGTTTGCAGTTTAGGACTCACCTGGGCACCTCCAAGCCCAATACAAGTAGCAGTCATCTGCAGATCACTTTGTAGCTCATGCTGGGAGACCCCCAGGCAGACCATAGTGGCTGACCTTGGCCTGCACCTTCCAGGAGACCCCAGAACCAGCACACCTGGTGGACAACTTCAGACCACATCGAAGCACCACCCAACTGTGGTAGGCAGTTAGACAGACATGAGCACAGCAAGAATGATTGGCCAGGCACAGAAGGTCACCAGGGTGGAAAGCCCTGGGTGTCTAGCAAAAGACAATTTGGAGGGTGGGACCTCACCCCCAGGGTGACCTTTCCTCCCCTAGCATATCACTGGTCATGCAGTTTGGACTCCCTGACCTTTCCTTTCTAGAGATAACATTTAGACCTCAGTTGTATTTCAGCTCCAGGCCCAGAAAAGCAACAAAACCAGACCAGCAACCCCGAGGCTGACCTAAGGACCAGCTGCACTGAATAATGACCCCTGCCCTGGAGCAGACCAATTGATAAGTGAAGACCTAGACCAGTGATGGCGAACCTATGACACGTGTGTCAGAGGTGACACGCGAACTCATTTTTTTGGTTGATTTTTCTTTGTTAAATGGCATTTAAATATATAAAATAAATATCAAAAATATAAGTCTTTGTTTTACTATGGTTGCAAATATCAAAAAATTTCTATATGTGACACAGCACCAGAGTTAAGTTAGGGTTTTTCAAAACGCTGACACGCTGAGCTCAAAAGGTTCGCCATCACTGACCTAGACCCTGAAAGGACACACCTGGAAAGCTGCTGAATATTCTATTAAAATCTTCTCCTGGGACCTCCCCTAAAATCTCTACCCTTAAAACCCTTAGGATGGAGCATCCAGGGAGCAAGCCCAAGCCTTTCCCTTTTCCTTCTTCACCCCCAGGCTTTTTACCATTAGCTTCCTCACTCCCAAGCTCCTAGAGCCCTTCCTTTGCCTCTATAACTTATTTCCTAAACCCATTTCTTCTATGAATTATTTCTTCCACTTCTGTGATATTATAATGTTCTCTTATAGTTTGAGTCTTGGCTCTTAATTCTTCCTAGCCAGAACTCAAGTACCGAGGTTGCTGAACCCAGATCTGGTCTGACCCCACCGGTCTAGTCTAGTACCTGGTGCCATTCCTGCCACCTACAAAACCACCACCTCCACAAGTGACACACTCAAGGATCAGACTCAGCAGGCACCAGAGCCCTGCTAAAGTAAGTCCTGCTCCATGGGTTGGGCCCCTGCACAGCTGATCCTCCACAGTGGTCAGAGGTCAGTGGCCACAGCCAGTCCTTGCAGTCAATCAGACTGGGGGTAAATCCCTTCCAATGAGGTGCCAACAGCAATCAAGGCTCAACTACAACAGGAGGGAATACACAGCCCATATTGGGGGGCAGGGAGGGGCGTCCCCATGGTGCCCAGCTTGGGTGAATGAGAAGACTGTTCCACTGAACCCTATAGGTCCCCTACTACATTAAGCCACTCTATGAAGCCTGGGAGACACAACAGCTCTACAGGGAGGCTGCCAAAATGATACAAAGAAACATGTCCAAAGTGAAAGAACAGAACCAATCTCCAAAAAAAAGAACTAAACAAAATAGAGACAAGCAATCTACTAGATGCAGAGTTCAAAACACTAGTTACAAGGATGCTCAATGAACTTAGGGGAAGAGTAGATGAACTCAGAGAGAACTTTAACAGCATAAAAAAGGACATGGAGCACGCTCTTCCTCTCGGAAGTATGCCTGCACATTTCCCTTCACCCTCTTCTTCCCCCCAGGTGCATTACCTTTGCCTTTCTCTCGCCTAGGCTCCATGGGCCCTTCTTCTGCCTCTGTAACTTATTTCCTGAGCCTACACAGCCCAGCTGGCTCACTTTGCTACCTCTGTAACTTTCTAAATAAACTTTATCTTGTAATTTGGAGGTGGGAGGTGGGGGCAGAACATGGAAACCATAAAAGAACCAGTCAGAAATGAAAGATACACCAACTGAAATGAAGATTAATTTACAGGGAATCAATAGTAGATTAGATGCAGCCAAAAATCAAAACAGTGATTTGGAATATAAGGAAGCAAAAACACCCAATCAGAATAGCAAAATAAAAAAAGAATCCAAAAATATGAAGATAGTGTAAGGAGCCTCTGGAACAACTTCAAGCATGCCAATGTTCGTATTATAGGGGTGTGAGAAAAAGAGAGAA